ACAGTCTATTGGGGATGTCAGAGCCCCGAACAAGTCACCAGATCATGAGTTAGAGATTGATCTTAGGGCCTGGAAGGAACGACAGGGTTCAGGGTGGGGAAATGTGTGGCCTCTGCTTTGAACTTTGAAGGTCAGTATGAGATATGTCTAAGGTGACCAGGTTCATCTTGCTTCCCTTCTTCCACCCCACCCAAGGATTATTCTGTCTTTCAACAACTTTTCTTTCTTTTCTCATCTCTGATCCACTCTCATATATTTACATCCCAATTTTCTGCCACTTTCTCTCTCTGCTAGTCCTTGGTCTTTTTATGTCTTTGGTTCCTATTTATCAAGAAGTTTGAATACCTTGAAGCTTTCCTTTTCTTTATCATTTGGCTTATTCCAATGAAAGCCCTGGAGTCCCACGTTCAGGGTAATCCCCCCAAGCCACTAGGTCTCACACAATTGGAGAGTTGGACGTGAGCTTAAAGGTAAATGTACCCAGTCCTTTGATCTTCATCTTTATCCCCCTCCCCCAGCCTTTCCCTCTCTCTGTCTCTCCTCTTTCTCCACCACTCCATTCCTTTGCTCTTTCTCACCTCGTGGTGTTTCTGTCCTGTCTGTCTTGCGGGATGACAAGTGGTCACAAGATATGAAGGACAGCCTTTCTGCTTGAGCAATTTGGTTTTTTTCCAGGCACGTGGAGAGATCTTGTTTCAATTATCGCCTTTTTGATATGGGTCAAGTTGATTTGCCACAGTTCTGTGCCTCTCACTTCATCATTGCCGGGTTTTGTCCTGTTGTCTTTGTTCTGTGAAACTCGTGGGAGAAGAAACTGGGTAATTAATTTTTCTTTTGCTGGAGAAGAGAGGATGCAGAGATGGGAGGATCCAGGAACATCTGGACTGTGTTTTTTGGTAAGTAGTACCTAGCTTTGTTAAATCCTCTCCCTTTCTTTCTTGATGCAAAATACTTGAAGAGTAGAAAAATGACATGTAATATCTGAGTGGTCCTTTTCCCCTGAATATCAAGGGATCTAGGCTCAGTGGCTGGCTAAGGTAGCCAGCCTGGGGGTACCATGGAAATAGCAGGAACCACAGTGTGGTCATTAATTAACTGGGTAACCTTGGGAAAATTACCTCATCCTTCTGAGCCCCATTTTCTCCTTGGTCAAATTAAAACAGACTAGTAATGACTTCCTAGGTTGTGTGTGAGGATGGACTCTATGAAGATATCTAGAACACTCATCCAGGTGCCAGACGTACTCCCCTCATTCCAGTTATCAAGAATATACATAACCCATCACATTTGATTCTGCAAATTGTACAGAGCGTGAGCCATGCGTTTGGGGGTGCAGCGAAGAAGCAGCCAGGATTGGGGGGATCAGGTTGCAGACACGGTCCCTTCCTCTGCCTAGGGGGCTGGCTCTGAGCTGGAGGGTCAGGGCCCCTCTCCCCAGGAGCTGTCATAGCTCAGGAACTGGCCCCTGTGCCAGCATCTGGATCTTCTTAGATTTAGGTCTAGACTCCTTCTGCTTGTCTTGCAGAATCACTTCGCAGCAGCGAGCAGGCAGGGCTTTGACTTTCTTCTCTGTGGTCCAGCCCGCCGACTTCCTACCCATAAACAGCCTGGAGTGGGGCAGGAAAATTACTCCTGGGGCTGTGAGTTCCCTCTGCGCCTTCCTGACCTCAGGTGCTGCCTACCTGATGCTAATGCAGGGCTTCCTCTAGTTTTCCTTCCTTCTTCCTCCCCTTAGCTGAGAGGTGCTTAGGCATTGGATGGAAGTTTCAAAATTGTTTGAAAGAGTGAGTGTGTAGGGCTGTCTCCACTCTCCATCCCATTGCTATTGAGATTCTCCTGCCAGCCACCCCCTTCCCTCAGGCTTCTTTCAACTTCTTTGCAATCCTTCTCTTCCATTTGTGAACTCATGAGTCCACGGGCAAAGGCTGGTTGCAGTTTTGGAACCTGACCTTCCATTAGTGGCACCGTGGATATAACACCCGTCCTTGTTCTGTGCTGGGGGTCTTCTGTGCTGCAGATCTCAGGTGAGGGTGGGGAGGGTACCCCCAGGAACAGGCAACTGTTTGGGGGAAGAGGTTTGGAGGCTTTCAGGTGACTCTGGAAAAAGAATGCCCTCATTTTTGTTTTCCGCTTGAAATGGCAACCGACTCCAGTATTCTTGCCTGGAAAATCTCACAGACAGAGGAAACTGGCGAGCTACCGTCCATGTGGTCACAGAGAGTTGGACATGACTGAGCATGCACGCACATACCTAAGTGCCATGGGACACCGTCCTTCCCTCCCTTCCTCCTTGCTGGGCTTTCTTTCCTGGACCGCGGGGACATCCTCCCTCTGGGCCTCTTGTCTCACTGGCCTGCATTCGGCCCCTTCTGAGCTTCCTCTTGATGTTGGAGGATCCCCAGTTCTCCTTTTTAACCCTCTTCTCCTTGGTTGAACCCAACCAGGCTCACACTTTTGGGAGCATCTAGAGCCGGCAACCTCACACTGATAGTCCCTCTGACTCCAGACACCTGTGGACCTCCTAATATGAACTTCTCAGGATTCCTGTGGCCTCAGCTGGGTGCTGGGTCTTCCAACTCAGCTTCTCCTGGCTTCCAGGTCTGAGGCTGAGATCCTCGGAGTCTTGCTTAACACTTCTGTTTCTCCTGACCCACATTCAGCTGTTGGTTAGCAAGTCCTGCTGCCTCGGCTCTTAAGCTCTATCTGGGGCCCCCACTGCTCTGAGTCCCCTGCTTGGCCACCCCTGGGCTGAGCACCTCCTGCCTGGACTCTCCTCCCACCTCCCTACTCGGGCCCCGATGTTGGCATTGCGGAAGCTGGATTGGACAGACCTGGGTTCCCATCCTTCCTCATCTTCCTCCAGTCTTCGCCCAAATGTCCCCTCCACGATACAGCTGCCCTGACCTTTCTATGGAAACTGGCATCACTCCCTTCCCCCGCTTCCAGCCCACTCATCTCTGTCACCTGCTCTATTTTGTCCCCATGGTGCTTAGGTCATTATTATGTGTTTAAGAAAATTTTACTTTATTTTTCTTTTCAATCAAATTGTCTTTTTTTAAAAATTGAAGTATAGTTGATTTAAAATGTTAACATTTGCTTTACAGCAAAGGGATTTGGTTATACATCCATATATATTCTTTTTAAAATATTCTTCTCCATTAGAAGTTATCCTAGGATAATGACTGTAGTTCTCTGTGCTGTACCATAGGACCTTGCTATTCATCCATTCTATATAAAAAGCTTATCTCTGCTCACCCCAGCCTCCCACTCCACCCATCCCCCAGCGCCGCCTTGGAAATCACCAGTCTGTCCTCTATGTCTGTGAGTCTGTTCCTGACTCAGGTTCATGCGTGTCATATTTTAGATTTCACCTCTAAGTGATAGTCTGTGGTATTTGTCTTTCTCTGTCTGACTTACTTCACTAGTGTGATTCTCTCTAGTTGCAGCCATGCTGCTGCCAAGGGCCTTCACCACCTCTCTCCTTCCACCGGTGGGGCGGCACCTTTGTCTCCTAGCCCCTAGAACTTAGCAAGGCATCCCAGGAGCTCTGCAGTGGATGGAGCTTTGCTGTTTTTGGAGGCTGGCCTCCTCTCACCTGCAGATCTGACCTGAACCCCACGTCCCGAGCCCCTGAGCGGGCAGTGCCTCCCCACCCCACCCTCCCGCTCTGTCTGCCAGGCCTCTCCTTCAGGCCCTTTGTCACAACTTGTAGGTTCACAGTCGCCTGTCTGCTCCCTTGTTTGTTGTCTGTCTCCCCAGCTGTGACCCCGTTCCAGAGTGTCGCCTTTGTTCTCTGCGGTGTTCACAGCCCTGGCAGAGGCCTGCGGAGAGTGGACTCTTGATCCGTTTTGGGTGAATACTGTGAATACACATTCTGTGTATTATCTTACTTGATATGAGGCTCAGAGAGGCTGTGTATTTGGCCCACAGACAGAGAACCAGGTGGCGGAGCCAAGCTTGAACGTGGGTCTGCCTGACGTGTGTGTGTGTCTGTATGTCTGTGTGTGTGTCTGTGTATATTTGTGTCTGTGTGTCTGTGAGTGTCTGTGTGCGTATATGTCTATGAGTGTGTCTATGTCTCTGTGTGTGTGTCTGTATGTGTGTCTGTGTATGTCTCTGTGTGTGTGTGTCCGTGTGTATTTGTGTCTATTTGTCTGTCTGTGTGTGTATGTCTATGAGTGTGTGCCTGTGTATCTCTGTCCGTGTGTGTGTGTGTCTGTGTGTCTCAGCGTGTGTCTATGTCTCTGTGTGTGTGTCTGTTTGTGTGTCTGTGTGTGTATATCCATGTATATTTGTCTGTGTCTGTGTGTGTCTGCGTGCATGTGTGTCTATGAGTGTGTGCCTGTGTATCTCGGTCCATGTGTGTGTCTGTGTGTCTCAGTGTGTGTCTATGTCTGTGTGTGTGTGTGTGCGTGCACGTACACGAGTGTCTGTGTGTGTGTCTGTGTATGTCTCTGTGTGTGTGTCCGTGTATATTTGTCTGTGTCTGTGTGTGTCTGCGTGCATGTGTGTCTATGAGTGTGTGCCTGTGTATCTTGGTCCATGTGTGTGTCTGTGTGTCTCAGCGTGTGTCTATGTCTCTGTGTGTGTGTGCGTGTGTGCGTGCACGTACACGAGTGTCTGTGTGTGTGTCTGTGTATGTCTGTGTGTGTGTCCGTGTATATTTGTCTGTGTCTGTGTGTGTCTGCATGCGTGTATGTCTATGAGTGTGTGCCTGTGTATCTCGGTCCACGTGTGTGTGTGTCTGTGTGTCTCAGTGTGTGTCTATGTCTCTGTGTGTGTCTGCGTGTGTGTGTGCACGTACACGAGTGTCTGTGTGTGTGTCCGCAGTGCCACACTGCGTGGGGAGCTGCATCCCGTGCGGTGGTCCGTCCACAGCTGGCTTCTCCACTGACCCTGGCACAGCAAATGTTGGCGGGAGAGACTCCTTCCCTCCTCTTTAGGGTTCTTTCTCAAGAAGCCTACTCTGGAGGCCCCGGTGCCCAGCCCCATGAGGCGCCATGACGACCTGCAGCCCTCTCAGCCCCACCAAGCCCAGAGCCTCCCAGGGGATGAAGGACCAGAAGTGCCACGTCCGTGGACGCAGAGCATGGGGCCAGCCCGGAGGCTGGGGGCCTGCGGGGCACGGGCGGTCACCGGAGCCCCCTCCCACCGCAGCGTCCTTCGTGTCCAGACCCCGCGGCCGAGCCGCAGCAGCTGCCCCCCGCCCCGTGAGGCGAGCCCTGGGGGGCACAGCTGAGGGCGCCCAACGGCCCCCGAGCCTCCAGCCCGCAGCAGCTGTCAGGCCCACAGCTGCGTCCCACACGGACCCGCGGCTCTTTTCTGCAGCAAGGGCAGGGCGAGGAGGATGCCCTGCGGGCGCCTCAGGAGCGCGGGGGACCGGGCTGCCCTCGCCAGCCAAGGGCAGGCTGTCCTGACCCGTGACCCCGAGACTGGGGGGCACGCCCCGACCCGGTGCCCACGACCTGGCCCCCATAAAGACTTAGGGGATAAAGTCTTAATCGACGTCATTTTTATGAAACTCTTCTCAGAATGCTGATAGCAGCTGACATCTACTGAGGGGGGAGAGAGAAGGCAGGAAGGCGGGGGGGAGAGAGGAAGTAGGAGAGAGGAAACAAACAGAAAGAAGGAAAGAAAGAAAACGGGCAGAAAAGGACCTCGGCATCTCTCTGGCTCTGCTCTGTGCTCAGGGCAAGCCCACAAACCATGATGAGGGCACACAGCTCCAGCTCCTGGTTTTGCTTCTAAGACCCCAGACCCGGCACCCACCAGCTGTGCCCACAGGCAAGACTGGCCAGCTTTCCTGGTCTCCCGAGCCAGTCAGAAGATGGTGAACGTAGCACGTGGAATCCAGGGTCCACACAAACCTGGGCCGTTCTGGGAGAAAGGGGAGATGGCACACAGACCCACAGGGAGCTGGATCCTGAGGGCGGGGGCGGCCACAGCCCAACACCCCCAACCCCACCCCCATCAGCCTGGCACACCAGGGTCCGCCAGGCCCACCATCCACACCTGTGCCTGCAGCTGGGTCCCCGGGCCGTCTCCGCCCCGAGCTGTCTGACAGTGACACGGTATCGCCTGTTTCAGGCAGTATTACGTCTTGAAGCCAGAAGCATGCGCTAAGGGAGGTCAGCGGACACCTCACAGGTGAATCCTCTGGAACCTCATGGTCACATGTCCTCTCACCTGTTGTCCCAACTGCTCCTTGAAGCCAGGAGGTTGACCTGATCCTCGACTTAGCCACAGAGCCTGCAGGCCCATCCTGGAGAGAAGAGTTTTCTCCCCTCCATCGCCCCCTCTCTCCCACCCACTTCCACCTTCTCTTCCCGAGGGAACCGGATCCAGCTCTCTGTGTCCCCAGCCCCAACTGGATCTTGTACAGGAGCTCCGACGTCTCAGCACCCAGGACAAGCCGGCAATGTCGGCTCTGCCCCGATCGGCCCCTCAGCGGCCCTCTGGGGCTGAGCTGCACTTGAGCCCGACCTCCCAACTGCTGGACCGGGCCAGTCTGGTCCTAGGCGGCTTCCCAGGCCACATCACCGCAGGCCTTCTCCTCTTCCTCCTCCTCCATCTACCGCAGTCGCCAGTCCCAGAAACTTTCATGTCAATGCTTGTTCATGTTAGGGTGCTCACACCTCAGAAAGGAGAAGTGTCTTGCCCGGGACCCTGGGCTAGCTGGAGCATCATCTGGACAGTACCTACTGTGTCTTTAGACCTTCTGTCTGTGAGCTTTCCCCAGTTTTCCCCTGGACCAGCAAACCCCCACATTTGTGCAACACGAACCAGTGGGCACCTGGCATCTACTGAGAACCCAGAGCAAAGTCCGACCCCACAGTCAGACGCCGGCTCCCGCCACCCTTGGCTCCCCAAGCGGCTGTTCCTGCCAACCCAGCACCAAACGTTTGCCATCTCTGCTCCTGCAGGTGGCAATTTGCATGGCGGGTGTACCCTCTCCCATGAGGTTTTGCCTATCCGAGTTTCTTTTCTGCTCTTGGGAGGTGAACAGCTTCTTTAAAAAGAAAGAAAAACAAGACCCCAGTAACTCTGCTAGGTCGCCGGCCTTAAGGTGTTTCAAAGCCTCCGTGGCTATTTCTGGCTCCATTGTCCTCGGGTCTGAGAGGAAGGCCTCATGGCAGTTCTCTGCTTTCAAGGCAGAAACAGGACATTGTTTCTCCCAGCTTTGATTTAATGGCCAAAAACAGTTATAGGAAACTGTTCAGCAGATGTTTTATGAAACTCAGAAAAAATTGGGTCTTTGAGAGGGTTTATTTTTAGATTAATGCTTCCTACCATTGGGGGTTTGGTGCTCACAAAAGGAACAGAAAACGGGAGAGAGAGAGAGGTGGAGAGAGCTTTGAACATTTAGACCATCACATTTTATTTTTTCTGCCATTTTCACTATGAATTAAATGTACGTGGGAACCCATGGAGGACAGGATACAGAGGAGGTTCCAGGGAGGTGTTGTGCATTTTGCAGTTTCCTTTCTAAAATGAAAGTTTACTGAGTGCAAGGAAAATCTCTATTTTTCATCCTTCCCCACCTGCTTGATGCTACATAGAGATGTGTTTTTCCTTGCCACTTTGTTTTCTTGTCTCTCTTTGCCTGAAGTAATCTTTCCTTCTCTCATCCTGTCCCTGCTTCCTTTTCTCTTCTGTTTCTTTTACCTATTTCAGTCTAAGGCATCATTTATACTCAGGTCAGGAGCTTCTTCCTCCAGGAAGTCTTCCCTGAACTCTCCAGGGTGGATTGCTGGACCTCCTCTGAGATACACAGACCATATTTCAAACACTGCATGTACTGCCTTGCTTTACAATTTATTCATGTATCTGGCTCCTTTCTCAGGCTGTCAGCTCGATGAAGTTGGGGACTCTGTTTTAATTATCCTTGTGTCCTCAGCATTTAGCACTGTTTAGTTCAATAACAGTCACAGAATAAATGTTTCCTGAGAGAAGGGACTGATGAAGAATAAAGGGATTGAGCAAGTTAGGGAGTTTCATCCAGTTGGAAAGGTTTTATTTAAACTACAGAAGCAGAAATGAAGTTTGCTTGTTTTTTTTTTTTTTTTTTTTTGGTCTTTGCTATTCAAATCAACCCAAAATCTGTTACTACTATAACGTAATCAAGTAATTATTATACTTTGAGGTGGTTATTACGATTTCCAGGAAACAGGCTTTGGGACAATAAACAAAAGAGCTGACGTGAGAGCACTCAGCTTCAGATATTTAATTAAAGCCTTTTGTTTTCTCCACTCTATGGAGAGAGTCATGTTTAAGACAGCCTTGGATGCCTGGGTCCAGGTAGGATGTCTTGAAAGGGTACAGAAAAGGGAGGCTGGGAAACTAAAGCAGACTTTTCCTCCTGCTTTTCTGGGGCCATTTCCAGCTGGAACAGGAGGACAAGTAGAGCCCCAGATGAGGAACAAATGACCTTTCACGTTCTCACTTGTCCTGAGGCCTCTGGCCAGTGTTTCAAAGTCAGGTGAACAGAACAAAGGCTAACGGCTTCTTACTTTCTGGAACTCAGCCCGGGGAAAATGAGGTTCTCCCTTGATTTAACTCCATCAATCATTATGGTCTCCCTCATTTCTGAAGACCTTATCGAGCACTTCCCAGCTTTTCGCTGGTGAAGGTGGAGGTAGGATCTGCTATCTGGAAAAAGCATCATCATTGCCTGTGAGTGGGCCAAAGGCCACATCAGTGAGCTCTGGGCAAGAGTGTTCGAGTTTCCTGGAAGCTGGGCTTGGGCAGAGTTCCCTGTCATGTTCCAGGGCCCTGGGTGAATGTTTCCACATCCTTTTATTTCCTTAGACCTTTTTTTTTTTGAATGCTAACTATGCTGTAGTTAGTTATTATGCTAAGTGCACTAGAAAATGATGTCATTTATCTTTACTTAAGGCTTTTAAAAAATCACATGTTTTTTTCCTTATTTTTAAGGAACATTATTTTCTTACATCTTCAGTAATCTTAAGAACTGAATTCTATTCTTACCCCCATTTTCCAGATGATAAAACCTGAGTGGATAGAGGTTGAAGAAACTTGCCCAGAGTCACCCAGGGGATGAATGAAATGCTGGAACTCGAGGTCAGGTTGGGCTGACACCATCGAGTTCAGTGTCCCAGTGGGTCCTGACTTAGGCCCCAGTGGGTTCTGACTGAGGCCCCCGGTGGTTTCTGTCTGAGGCCCGGGCAAGCTCTCTGGTGGAACCTTCTTCCCTTTTCAGTCTTCGCACACTCCCTCAGACAGTCTCTCTATTTCTAACTCTCCCCAGAGTTCTCTGCCATCTTCTAGGACAACTTATGGCATTTCTTTACTCTGACTTTTAAATTCTGCAGGCAAAGACAGAGACCCTCCCTGATAAAGAAAATAGCCTCAAAGTGAAAAACACGCGGAAAAATATGAAATGCCAGTGGCTTTGAAAGGCTCTTTTCTAGAAAGAGAACAAGACTGTATTAGACAGACCTAGCAAAATCTTTTCCAGTGGCGGTAGCTTTCCCCAAGGTGTTGCCAACCTAATTTATTCACCTCCTGCTTAAATCAGCTCCAATCCAGCAGTTGGTATAGAGCTCAGGGAATACTGGTGGAACACTTCTGTACCAGCTGGGCCAGGCTAGGGGACGTTGTGGTGGCAAGTGCCAAACCTCAGCGCCTCAAGCCACGCTTGCTCCTCAGGCTATTTGAGCACGGCAGGTTGGCCGTGGATTTGAGTTACTCAGGGCCACGGGTCCCTCGGCGGCTGTCACCTGACACAAGCCCAAGAGAAAAGGAGGACGGTTGAGACTCTTCACGGGTTCTCCAAGTTTCTGCCAGGAGGGCTCCAATTTCACCACCGCAAACAAGTCCTGAGGCCACTCCCGACGCCAGAGGCGCAGGGAAGTGAGGTTCCACCACACGCTACACTGAGGAAGAAAAGCCCGCTTTATGTGGGGAAGAAACTGGAGGTGCTGCTGACAAGTGTAACACAGATAGCTAACGGGAAGCGGCTGTATGACGCAGGGAGCTCAGTCCGGCGCTCTGTGATGACCGAGAAGGCCAGAGTGGTGGGGTGGGTGGGAGGTCCAAGAGGGACGGTGTACATGCATACGTATGGCTGGTTCACTTCGTTTACAGCAGAAACTAATACAGCATTGTCAAGCAACTATACTCCAAAAAAAAAAAAAAAATTGGACATGCTTAATTTCAGGAACTGACTGAACTGAATTTCAGGTTTGGTATTGAACAAATTCCCAGTCCTGCCTTCAGAAGCTTTATATGGAGTTGAGGAACTAGGACTTACCATACATCAAATAGTAAAAGAACATTATGGGTTGGTGTATTAATAAAATAATATATCCTGCCAAACTACAGGGTTGGGAGGAATAGTAGGGTTTTAGATACAGGGTTTCAGACCTCTAAGAAGAAAATGAGAATAAAAATTCTC